GGCAACAGAGTGAGACTCTGTCTCAACTCCCCCTCCATACAAAAGGGCAAAAAAGAGCCAAAAGAAAAAGCCCACTTGCCAGAGAGACAAGATCATTTCTTAAGTTTTAACAGAACGAGTGTCATTAGAACGGCATACATTGAGAGATTGTTGAGCAGATGTCACATCTGTCGCAGGTCCCGTGTTCCTCTGTTTCTGCCAATAGTGTGAGCTGGATCCGGGGTCTGAATCAGGCCGTCTCGGGGGTCCACCTGAATCAGGCCCACCTTTACCCTCTCCCCTACTTCTTGCAGGGTGGAGTGCAGCTGGATTGTCCCAGAGAAAGGCCGAAGGCCCCTTTCTCCTAAAATTTCGGGGATCCAGTTGGCTAATGGCCCTTAGGGGTGCCCTTGCCAGAGGCCTCACGTTCACCAGTGTACCCGGGAGGGTTTTGGGCGGCAGCATCTCCTTAGGCAGCTTTCAGGGAAAAGGTTATGTGACGGTGACCCTCCGAGCACAGCCCCGGAAGCTGCGTCTGCGGGGGACAATGCTTCACCTCTTCTTTCCTCCTAGTTTTCGGGGCTCTACATCCTGTCCTTCAGCATCATCATGCTGGGGTTTATCCTGTACTGCTCCACCCCGACCCGCACGGCGGAGCCGGCCGAAAGCACCGTGCCTGCGGTCACCTGCATTGGGATCGACAACCTGGGCCTGAAGCTGGAGGAGAACCTCCAGGAGACCCACTCTGTGGCCTTGTAGCTGGAGAAGACAGCGCTAACCGGGCCGCTGGGACGGAGCAGAGTCTGCTGACCATCGCTGAGGGACACGGGGAAATATCCGACTGGGAGTGAACACCTGCGTCAATGGACTGGATGCGCTGGGTAGACTTTGGAAAGAAACGCTAAACGATGTATTCAAAGTAGAAATGCCGAAAGAGAGCAGAGCCCAGGCTAGGACTGCGTTTCTGTATGTTTGAGGACCAACACCGTTAGTGTCTGGGAGGTGAGTGTGGGCCCCACGCTGGGGTCCCAGAGGCACATGTGGGAGAGCAGGGCAGGAGGGAAGCCCAGAGTGAGGGGCCTCAGGACCCGGCTGGGCTCTGTGGGCAGGAGTAGGGCAGGCCGGGCTGGCTCTGGAGTAGCTTTCTTCGGTTTGAGGCTTTGAGTTTTTAACCTGTGTCATTGTCCACAGGCCTTGTGGCCCTAGGCATGTGAGGCCTGCTGATGATTGCATATGGTGGGACAGTGGAGGGGCAGCACTTAAGAAGCCTGAGGTTCAAGTGTGAGTACTACAGGAGCATTAGGCTGGAGTGCAGTAACTTAGGAACCCTCTCCTAATTTTTTTTAAAAACATTTCTCCTCCGTCATTCATTCCAGGTTGATCAAACTCTTCTCTGCTCCCACCGTCTGTGACACTGGGCATCTTTCCTACATTTTCAGTCCTAGATTCTATTCTCCAGGGTTTCTTAGACTGGAGTAAATAAATACATGTTATCCTTTCTGGAAAGTTCTCATGACCCCCTGGAAGATTCATCTTATTAAGCATCAGCTTAGAGAACTAAATTATCAGAAAAAGGAGAAAACTTCATTTCTATAACTGGTAGAAAAAAATAGATTATCATTGAAATGATAACACAAAAGTAGTAATTTCTCACGGTATGCCTGGCCGCCCTGCGAGACCTCAGTGTTAAAAGAAGATACTACCCCATTTCTTCCCAAATATTTGTAATGACATGAGATTTTATGATATGTACCTCAATACACAATGTTATCATGTAGCATCAGTATACTATCAACCCACAAAATGCCACTTTAAGAAAACTGTATGTAAATTTTTTTTTATAATAACAAGAAATGATGGATAAGTGTTCATATTAGTAAAAGACTTTGAATTCCTGGGAGTACAGTTGCTGTTTGGTTTCATTTGTTTGTTTGTTTGTTTGTTTGTTTTTGTAGAGACAGAGTCTCACTTTGTTGCCCTCGGTAGAGTGCCGTGGTGTCACACAGCTCACAGCAACCTCCAACTCCTGGGCTTAAGCAATTCTCTTGCTTCAGTCTCCCGAGTAGCTGAGATTGCAGGTGCCCACCACAACGCCCGGCTATATTTTGGTTGCAGTTCGGCTGGGGCCGGGTTTGAACCCCCTCGGTATATGGGGCCAGCACCCCACTCACTGAGCCACAGGCGCCGCCTTCATTTGTTTTTAAAAAAATTTTTTTTTAAATTTTTCTTCTTCCCCTTGTGCATGATAAATGACTTAATATTCAAAATTTCTTGATAGTCGACTTTTCAGAGTCATGCCTTTTGTAAAGTGAGGCAAAGCTGTCTATCTGGGGCTGTCCTGAGACTGAAGGTATTCAGAACGGGCTCATAGATCATTTACAGGAATACATACTTTCCAGATCCGAATTACCACAATGGGTTTTTTACTTTTGAGTGAAATAATTTTTCATTCTCTGCCACGAAATAAAACTTCCTTTTCAACTGATGTTTGTTTTTCATTAACGACTACGTGTTATCAGTGAATGGAGAAGGTTCCGTTACAATGTTTGGCTACTTTGGGAAGACTTTTCATTTGATTAGTACACTGATTGTCATCATTATTTTTAAATTTGTGCCATTGTGCTTATTTTTCCATTTTATTCATACCAATGACAGCTGCAGTCAAAACTGTGGTTGCTGGCGGCGCCCATGCTCAGTGGGTAGGGCGTCTGCCACAGACACCAAGGCTGGCAGGTTTGAACCCGGCCTGGGTTATGGCAGCCCATATGGCCTATGGCTATGAGGAGAGAGTTATAAGAAATACCTGTATATCTCAGTAGTGGAACACCTTGGTAAAAAGGGCATGGAGAGGGATTTAGCTCTCCTAACAAGCATGAGAGCTCGTGAGATGAGAGCATTGGTGAATTGGCAGTCTACACCTGTGTGGAGTTGAGAGGCACGAGATCAGCCTTATATTAGGCTGGAGGAGAAGGCAGTCGGGAGTGTGCGCATTCTATCATGGACCCGCTTACTCTGACTGTCTCCTCTCCTGCCGGCAGAACACCAGCACAGCATCTCTCTGCTGAAGATCACTAAGCTCTGCTAAAGACTAAGATGCAGTTTGTCTAAGTTTTATGTCTAAAAGTGCTAGTTCATTATACTGCCCAAACTTAGTAGAATGTCAGAAACATTGGAGAGGCTTTTTAAACATAAAAATTCTCAGCTGGGCAAGGTGGCTCACCTGCCATCTTAGCTAGCACTCTGGGAGGCCAGGACAGGAGGAGTACTTGAGCTTAGGAGTTTGATACCAGCCTGGAGACCCGATCTCTACTAAAAATAGGAAAACTAGCAGGGTGTTGTAGCAGGCGCCTGTAGTTCCAGCTACTCGGGAGGCTGAGGCAAGAGGATTGCTTGAACCCAGAGTTTGAGGTTGCTGTGAGCTAGGCTGACACCACGGGACTCTGTCTCAAAAAAAATTCTCAGGCCCTATCCTATAATTACTGAGTCAGTTTCCAAGCTCCATTGTCTCTACAGACACTGTTTCCTAAAACACCCGACACGCAGATCATCTTTGGTGCCATTAGCGCCCCCTGGAGTGCTTGTGGTTCACTTGCCTTCCACGCAGTAAACACCTAACGCCCAGAAATGGCCTTTTTTGGTCTTTCTAGTCCTTTGGTCCATTTCACCTTGAGTATTTATTAAATAAACTTTGCCTTTGGTCCTAGTTTAGGACATTGAGGGGAGATTGATCTAAAGTGAGATCTTTTATGCAAAACGTGTAGTTACCGAGTTGTTGGGCTCTGCTAACCCTGCTGATTTCTTCCCAGGTCCTTAAATCCCAGTTTTCCCCTTGGCCTGCTTCTCATCTGGAGAGGGGTGAAGTAGTTCCAATCTGGATATGTCATGTTAAAGTTCAGAATTCGGTGTTCCAGAGAAACAGTGCTACGAATGACAGCCAGGTATTCCATAGTGATCCTGGAAGGCTGTGCATCTTGCCTTAAACAAATGTGTGAGCACTAGTTTAACCAGCTTGGATGATGCTGCTTCCCTGGGAAAAAATGTGTTTTCAAACATCTGGATTACACACAAATTTAAAACAAGATTTTTAATAGTATATTTTAACCTTTTTTGGGGGGGAGACAGTCTCACTTTGTTGCCCTTGGTAGAGTGCTGTGGCATCACAGCTCACTGCAACCTCAAACTCTTGGACTCAAGAGAGTCTCTTGCCTCAGCCTCCCAAGTAGCTGGGACTACAGATGCTGCCACAGTGCCTGGCTATTTTTAGAAATGAGGTCTGGCTCTGGCTCAGGCTGGTCTCTAAACTGTGAGCTCAGGCAATCCACCCACCTGGGCTTCCCTGTAACAGGATATTTTGGCCAGGTGAGGTGGATCATGCCTGTAATCCTAGCACTCTAGGAGGGTGACACAGACTCTTATCTCAAAAAACAAAAAAAACTCCAGCATATTTTAATTGACATGATGTATTAAAAATACTGTTCTAGTATGTGTCACTAACTACATTTCATGCACCCAGTAGCCACATGTGGGTAGTGGCTACAGTCTTGGGCAGTGCAGCTCACCTTGTTTATAGTAGACCATCTGAGGAATCATTGATAGAATGAATATAAATTGTCTTATTACAGAGATTAATAGTCTTAAATTACAAATGTGTTTGATATGGTCTATCAGTTTTCATAATAAATACTTCAAATGATTATTTCACTATCAAATCTGTTAATGAAAGTAAGAAATTATCTGAATACATGCTGATTCCTGACGCTAAAACTCAGGAGCAAGCTCAGCTTCTGAGACACAACACATTCTTTCTTTGAGAACCTTGAAATCTTCTTCTGGTCTATTAAACAATATTGATTTTTTTTTCAATTTTTTGGTATATATTTATGACATTAAAAAAAAAACTGGCTTGGCACCTGTGGCTCAAGCGGCTAAGGCGCCAGCCACATACACCTAAGGTGGCGGGTTGGAATCCAGCCTGGGCCTGCCAAACAACAATGACGGCCGCAGCCAAAAAATAGCTGGGCGTTTTGTGGACGCCTGTAGTCTCAGCTACTTGGGAGGCGGAGGCAGGAGAATCGCTTGAGCCCAGGAGTTGGAGGTTGCTGTGAGCTGCACTCTACCCAGGGCGACAAAAGGAGAAAAAAACACACAAACAAAAATAACCCACTGGTGGCACCTGTGGCTCAAAGGAGTAGGGCCCTGGCCCATGTGCCGGAGGTAGCTGGTTCAAACCCAGCCCTGGCCAAAAACTGCAAAAACAAACAAACAAACAAAAAACTACCTTGCTGAATAATGTAATAGTGTTGTTAAATTGTTCTACAGTATTGAATAAATGTAATATATTATACAACTAGGCTATGGATACACTGTCAGAAGAGAAGGCTTTGCTGGTGCTATTTTTGCTATTTGTGTTTTGAAACCAAGTTCTCACTTACGGACAGGCAGTTAATATTTTCTCGTCTTTCTGATACCAGCCTCTTATTAGTGGAGCTTCCAGCAGGTAACACTTTAACAATTGTGACAACCCAAAAATCTGTGGCACAAACAATAGTCTGTCTCATTTTATAGCACCTCCGTAATGTCCTGTTAAATCTATGGATTTTGTTTTGTTTTTATAGAGGGTGTTATAACAATTATCTTCAGCAGAGATTGCCTTTTGGTGAACAAATCCAAGAACTGGGGTCTCAGAAAAGTTGAAACACCCTTCACAGGTCACACAGAGTTTGGTGGCCAGGTCTGGTGATTAAAATCCGGGGATTTTAACCATTCAGTTTAGTCAGCAGCCGAAGTTCCCACTCAGTGAATTCTCAGAGGGGTCACAGTTCCTGCAGAACTGCTGAGCCAGCGAATGCAAATGCATCTCTAATAAGAGCTAGAGCTGTAGGAAAGATTTTCTTGGAAAAACTAGCTTGGTAGTACAGTTTTCTCTGCAGCTGTGGGGACTGCCCTTTGCAGAGGCTGTCTACAGTTCATCTCTGTGGGGTCTTATGTATGCATGGTCACGATTCTCTCTTCTACCATAATTATGGTGATGTGCCATTTCGTCTACATTTAATCACTTAGTATCTGGACAGATCCTCAGCCCTCAAAAGATACCAAATAAATCAGGGAAATTCAGCCACTTAGCCACTTAGCTGATTAAAAGGCAAGAGATTTATGAGGAAATTAGGTAATGCTGAACATGCATTTCTCCAATAGTCATATAAAAGGTGTTTTGAGAAGTCTGACAATATACAGGGTGAATGTAAAGTTTGTGTGCAATTTAAAATAGTTGAACGTAGTAAATTGCACATGAACTTTATGACCAGCCCTATATATATATATATATTTTTACCTCCCCTTCCATGCAAAAGAATTAATGTCCCAAGGTTTATGCTCCTAAGGCTCAAGCTTTCATAATGCATTTTATTCTTTGGTTTAAATATTGCCGTCTTCTCGCAATCTTAATTTAAAATGCAGACATGGCTGGATGCAGTGGCGTATAATCCTAGTACTCTGGGAGGGTCAGGTAGGTGGATTGCCTAAGCTCAGGAGTTCAAG